GACATACCATATAGTTACACAATTAACTTCCCGAACTTCGAGGGCCAGTATTTCACAGGGTTAGCTTCTTTGATTCCTTGCAATCTTGCTACAGCATGAAAGGTGCGAAAACGCATAGTCGCTCTGGCCCGCCTGGTGCGTTCCAGCTTGGGTTTAATTGAAACAGCGCCTCATTTCCCCACTTATCTTCAGGAACGAATATTTCAGGGTGATAGTGGCGGTGGCCTAATGGCTCATCTGGACGATGGCCGTTGGGTTCTGCTTGGTGTAATTTCATTTGGTACCGACTGCTCGAAGCTGCTCAGAAGAAATGTTGTCGCCAGGGCGCAGACTTACACGAATGTTGCATTGTACGGAGCCGATATTGCCCACTTCACTGGTTTTTTTCTACCACCAGTGTATCTTTAACTCCGGCAAGCGGCGCTGCATGTATATCCGCCTTATATATTTACAAGATCATTTCTATGTTCTCATTTTCGCATTTAGTGTAACCAGGATTTTTTCAAGAAGAAGCTTCTTTAACAAAATTCCGAATGCACATTGACGAATGACCGCTCATTCCACTCTCATTTTGACAAAAACAAAACTTATTAACAAATTCGTACTGAAACTTTCATTACTGTGCGTTTTTGCCCATGTGCAAATTGCAAAAACGCATATTGCGACGGCACTGTCTGTGTGTGTATGTTTGTCTGTCCGGGTATTTCAACTCGGCAACCAAGCAAGTTTCGGCGCCGAGATTTTGCTGATGAGTGCCCCTGCCAAGTGCCACCCCAGAAGCGCGGTACCATTCCTCACGCACGTCTGGGCCCGTGTACGAGAGGGTGAAAGTTATGGCGGGAGAATTGATAATTCGGGAACGAGAAAAGATAGAAAGCTGAAATTTCGGAGTTATATCCTCGTCCAAATATAACTCAGAAATTTCAAATTCAGCCCCCAGGTACGCGTGATTCTCGTGCACAGGCACTTAAATTTTCGGCGGGAAAATTACTCATCGAACGGCTGGGTCATTTTCAAAAAACGACCGCCAAACGGAAATTGTTTACTTCCCTATATGCAAATTTACGATGATTTACGGTATTGAGAGCACAAGGTAGGTGTGAAGAAACAACCACTCATGGAGTTAACCTAATTACTTCAAGTCTGGTGCAAAAACGCATGATCGCACTGGCTCGCCTGGTGCGATCCAGCCTGGATTTTTTTCAAACTAAACTTTAAAACATAAATAGTACGAAAAATTATCGACGGCACAATTGGAAAACCAAGCCGTCAGTTACTTCTGATTCAATCTGACAAGTCGCTACGTTCTTCTATGCATTTTTGCCTCTATGCAGACTGCAAAAATGCATATTGTGGAGACTCTGTCTGTGTGTGCATGTGTGTGTGTTTGTGTATGCGCATGGTGTTCGTCTGTCCGGATATTTCAACTCTGCAACCAAGCAAGTTCCAGAGCCAAGATT